CTTTTCGATCAACCTCGAATACTGGGGGGCATCACCTCGGAGATTATATTTTTGAGAAAGATGTTTCACGCCTAAGAGGGCCTCGATAGGAGAACTTTGTAATGGGCCAAACGGTCGAATGAAACGTGTCCATATAGAATAGTCGAGCCCCGACGCAAAACATGTACGCATGTATCAACTATTTAAAGAAGCATTCTGGTTACATCAAAAACACTTTGTATATCATACGAGCTCTACACTTACAATCCTACGGGAAGCGGCTCAAGGGCCAAAGTACCCCGAAATACCCGGGGACTGTCACTGATAGTCAATACATCTGAATCATCAAAAATTCGAATTCATAAGACCTCAAAGAGGCACCCCCTCGAAACGAAGGCCAAGGCCAATTTACTCGGGGACTAACTTTTCGAACAGGTTCGGAAAATTATCGGAAAACAAGTCCAAGTGACAAACCCGAAGGCTACGACCATACTAAAGACTATGGTCACAAAAAGGCTACGGCCAAAATAATGCGATTCGGAGACGTCCGATTTTCGCTATAAAATTAAAGGCCTTCAAACATTGAAAAACCGGTTAAGTCAGGCTACCCCCGGCAAAAGCAAAATATAAGGGGCCTCGATAAATTTGGCCCCCGAAAAATCCATGGGCTTCGATAAATTAGCTCTCGAATAATCCAAAGGCTTCGATAACACCAGCCTTCGGAAAACCCTTCAGAGGTGTCCGATTATGTCTACATAAACGAAATGTCTAATAAGGTTCTGATACGTCGAACCTTCGAAAGACCCAACGGGTACAAAAACACATGCTAAGGCATAACTAAAATTTCAATAAGTCTTTTAGCCGAAACGAGGGAAAAATTGCCTAAGGGCCAATTCTAAAAAAAGAGCCTAAGGGCCAGCTTAAAAAGAAATATAGGGCCAAAGGCTTATGGGAATCCGAGACCTCATTCTCGTTCAACTCGGACCCAAAAGGCCCCTTTACCCCGAGCTCGCATTAAACTGATTTTCAGTTCGACTCGGGGATCATCTAAAACCTTAAGGGGTATGATCTTGGGCAATAAAAGCCTAAGGGCTTATTACGAGTCTAAACTGATACCCGAACTTAGCATTTGAATCGACGGAATTTTTCATAAACGGAGACAAAATAGAAGTCAACACATATCAAGGACAGAGCAAAATCTACTTTATATTCATTCAGGAAATTTACAAAACATATTACAACGCCCACAAAGGGGCCCTTGTACAAAAAGGAACCTAGTCTATTTTCGGGGCCACGTCCTTGGGAGTGCCGTCTTCGTCTTCAAAGACTTTATCTTCAGGAGCCTCTTCCCCTTCAGGAGCATCTTCCTTACTTTCCCCATCCCCGGAGCCGCTCACCACGTCCTCATCATTGTAGGAGACAAGAAACCTAGCATCGGTTTCCCGCGCCTGTGCTTCGGCTATCTCCTCGGCAAGGTCGAACCCCCGAGCATGGATTTCCTCGAGAGTCTCCCTCCAGGCTCGACACTTAGCCAATTCATTGCTCCGTCTTGCCCGCTTGGAGGCCTCCCTCAACTCAGATTGAACGTCTGCGGCTTCTCTCATATATATAGCAATGGATTTATCAGCCGCAACCTTAGTCTTCTTAGCTTCGGCCTTAGCTTAAGCAGCTTCAGCCTTAGCCTGTGCAGCTTCGGTCCGGGCTTTAACCAGTTCGGCTTCCAGCCCCTCGACTTCCCTGGCCTGAGCCAAGCTCTTCACTTCAGCACCTCGGATCTGAGCTTCAGCCGAGGCCAGTTAGGCCTTAACATCTTCCTTTTCGGCAGCAAGTTGATCCATGTTCTTCTTCCACTATTGGCAATCAGCTCGAACTCGATCTACCTCGCCTCGGAGCTACCCAATCATCTCAAGCTTTTGCTGTAGCTGAGATATCAAAGTGTTAGCCTCCAAAGTAGGGCCAAGAAGGCCGAACTTTGTTAAAATCGTTGTTACCTACTCGTCTAGCTCGGACTCGCTTTTTTGAGCTTTAGCCAATGCTGTTCGGAGATCCTTAAGCTCCTCTTCTCTCTGACTAAAGAGGAGCCTCAAGGCCTTCTCTTCGCCTGAAACCTTCTTGAGCTCGGCCTCGCATTGATTCAGCTCGGTTCTAAACTTTGCAACGGCCTATGCATTAAACGGAAACATATCAGTCGAAAGAAGACAATGGGAGAAAAACTTGCAATAGAAAGGGCAGGTCCTTACCTGGATAAGGAGACGTTGAGCCTCTTCGAAGAGGGAGGATGCATCATTAAAGTCGTTGGCGTCCTCGATCCCAGCATAGAAACCCTGAAAAGGATCATCTTCGATAACCTTATTTGGGTCGGGCTTCGGCATAGCGTTGGCTTCTTCGTTTTCCCCCTCAGAATAAGTTGGCAACGAAAGGGAGTGACCCGTTGTCGCAGCCCCGAGCTCCTCGCTCGGGGCGTTCTCATTATGATTGGGGGTCTCGGCATTTACTCCCTCCGGTATAGTTGTTGAAGGTAGAGGGTCAATCTCTACCCCCGGAGATGCAGGGGCCTTGCCCGTTTCTCCTTTCGGGGCATCCTCACCACAGGATGATGTGTCCTGTTCGCTCGGCGACCTCGACTTTTTTCGTAGCTCGAGTCACCAAAGCCGACCCTTCTTCATCATTCTCTTCATCATTCAGGAGGTCTTGGGCCGAGCCTGTGCCTGTTTGAGCATACCTTTTCCGCAGCCTTCGGGCAAGGATTTTCTTGTTCTGAGGGTCTTCAGGTTTCGAGACCCTTTTTCTTTTGTTGTCCTTCTCGAGCTTTGGATTTGAAGACTTGGTTTTTTTCCCAGGCGGGGCCAGCCTCATCTCGGACGCATCTCCAAGACCTGCATGGGAAAGCGTGAGTAAGTAATAACGCCACCAAAATGTATGAAAAATGTTGAAACTATAGAAAGGCACTCACCGTGGTTCTTGGCCTCCCACTGGCCCTTCGCCAATTCACGCCACTTACGCTTGTCGTAGGAAGAAGTGGAAGCTAATTTTCTGACCCAATCCTCGAGGTTGGGCACCGCTAGGGGCGCCCAAGCATCAGCTGCCGAAAGAAAGATAAGAGAGTTATGGAAAATGAAAGAACATGAATAGATACAAAAAATACGGACTCCACTTATGGTTAAAGTTCCACCTCTCCGGGAACGGCATTTTTTCTTCGGGGGTGATGTCCGAAGTCCTGACTCTAACAAATCGGCTCATCCAACCCCGATCTTTGGTTTCATCGGTGCTGGCGAAGAAGGACTTCGTGGTTCGACGCTGCAGCTTGATGAGCCCTCGGAATAACTGGGGCTGATACAACCAGACTAGGTGGCTGAGGGTGAATTCCAAATCCTCGGCCTTCTCAGAGAAAAACCGCAGCATGATCACGATGCGCCAGAACGAAGGGTGGATTTGACCGAGGGTGACTTCGTATGTCTTGCAGAAGCCGATCACCACCGGATTGAGGGGGCCTTGTGTGAAGGGATAAGTGTAAACACTCAAAAATCCCTCCTTGTGGGTAGTTATGCTTTCATCAGGCCTCGGGATCTGCACCTCGACCTTGTCTCCCCACCGGCAATCCTCCTTTACTTCCTTGATGAGTTGCTTAGTTATCAGGCTAATGTATCGGGATACGTGCTCGCATCGACCCTCGACATCTGGAGGATTCTCGATACCGAAGTCCTTCATGATAATGCAATCACCCGGGGTGATTTCTTCAAGTGTTGGCGGCACCACCGGTTTGGCTGACTGGGAGGCAGAGGAAGATGATGCTTTATCCTTTTTGGGGACCGTCTTGGAAGTTTTTGCCATAGTTATAAGCTAAGTATTACGGGTGCACAGGGATGTGGTGTTTTCAGGCAAGAGCTTGGTGTTTTTCTAACGTTTGAAGAGGCGGAGGAAATAAGTGATAGAAGAAAGAGATAAAGGTGGCAAAGGGAAGAAGTAAGAGTAAAGTTCTTCACTTGGAGGGATCGCCTCATATTTATAAACGGGCGATGACGGTTCGGCGGTTTTAGTGGCCGACCAATGCTGACATGCATTCAATGTTTTTGGGAAAGCGGACCGACGGGACGTTTCGAACGCGTGCATCACGAGGATGACGTCATCATTGAGGACTTCGGGAATACAAATCGTTTCTCATCATTTCATTATAAGAAACGCGGGGACTATCTGTATACGGTCAAAATCAGGGAGCCCGATTTTGAGGTCTTAAATTGGGTTATGAGTCCAAGTCCGGGCAACTCGAAATGGAAGTCAGATCCGGTCGAGGGACACATACCTCGAGGAAGGTGATCGAAGGCCTGACACGACCTGCATCAAGGGCAGCACAATCTCGAAGTCAATCAAGAAAAAACGAGAATTTCTCAAGGACACGTGGACCAGGGGATAAATTAAAGGATAAGATTTGTACGAAATGGTACGGGTCCGTACTAGGCTGTTATATACCTGTACCAATAGAATTCTTTACTACAATTAGAAATGTACTATATTGGGGTTTCCTCCTCCTATATAAAGGGAACCCCAATCATTTTGTAAGATTATCTCATATTATTCTCTACAATAGAACATTCTGCTCTGCCTATCTTGTTTAACGTGCTCAACAATTATTCTTCAGCTTATTTGTCTTTACTTCATTGTTCATACTTTATTGTTCTTAACTGACCTCGAGGTCCCTGGGACAACCAAGCTCGAGGCCCATATTGCTTCAATAACATTGATTTGGTTCATCATTTTTTCTTATTTAAGCTTAATATTACTTATCTAATCACTAGTATTAGAATATATCACGTATCTTTAAAACCACAAATTGTCTTTAATTGTTACTTACTTTTTTCGAGGTAAACAAAGCTAAGCAACAAAATAGTAATCACTTCAAAGTTATACAGTATTTCCTCCATTTCAATTTAGATGAGTTAGTTTGACCCGGCATAAAATTTAAAAAAAAAATATTTGAAACTATACAGTCTTAAAAGCTTAAGAGGTAAAAGCTTTGTGTGGCCATAACATTTATGTAATTATAAAGATTTCTGATAAAATGAATAGTTTAAAGTTAGAATTATTTCTAATAGCCGGTACGGGCAAGTCTTTGTGAATAGAGTGAAGCGTACGGCGCCGCCAAACCTTAGTCAAGTGCTTTACGGAGGTGACCCCACCGGAGTATTCTGATTTGAAGCTCTGACTTCCTGCAGCAAGTACGACGGCTGTTCTTGGTGGTGCACGGTGGCAGAGGCGGCGGAGGAAGGGTGGTAGAGCCCACTTATTCCTCCACCAGCTGCACCGCCTCCTGCGCCGGACATGTAGATGGAGAGAAGAGTATCAGAAGAGGAAGAAGACAGCAGAGCACTGGTAGAGACGCCGCCGGAAAGTGAAAAGCTAGAGTCGAAGAGATGAGTTGTCGGCGTCCTACTATAAGTTGTCAACGTATCTCCGCCGTTTGCGGTGGCGCGAAACGGAGATGCGGTAGTTGAACATTCTCCGCCGCCGCCGCTTGTGGGTCCTACGGTGCTGCTAGTTGGCGTAGCTGCATTGTATTTCCCTCCAACACCACAATGTGGACACGAATTGTTATTCTGATGTAAAAAATGAGAACAACTTTAATTATGGATGAGTTAAATCCAAAAGATAAAAGTGAAAAATGGAAAAGCAAGAGGAAACAGAGACCGTGGAAGAGGAAGAGCGGTAGGTGGTGCCATCAGGGTCAACAATCCAACCAGCTTCAGAGGCCAGGTGGCGGAGGACTTGGTTGATGTCGGAACGAGGGGAGAGGCGGTAACCGCCGTGTTTACGGAGGCCGTTGAAGATCTTAGTCGTAATAGCTCTTCTCTGACGCTCTCTCATCTTCGTCTTCTCCTTTTCAACCGCAGTTCTTCTTCCATTGCTGTTGTTACATCTCTCTTCACCTGCAACTGATTCATTCATTTGTGGATCTGGAAATATCTGGTAAGTAATTGTGAAATTGTGGTTTATCTGTTGTTTTCTAAAGGGGGAATTGAAGAGAAGCTTTTCGCATGACAGAGGAGTTCAACATTGCATGTTTACTGGGAAAGACTAGTCTGGCGCCAGTGGCAGAAAATAATTTTCATTTTCTGAATAGTTTGTAAATTATGGCTTCTTTACTTCAAATTATACATAATGATGCTATTTAGAAAGGACTTAAGCTTATATACGGCATAAAAAAAAATTATTTATATAATTAAATCACTAATAAAATAATTAAAAATAAATTTCTACTTAAGTATTAATTAATAAAAATAATAATTAATCTTCTATAGTAGGTTAAACTATTCGAATAGCGAAAATATATTTTTTAAGCTAACAATGTATATCACTTAAATCTATTTAGAAACTATTTTTACCGCATTATTAATTGAGAGTTAGGAAAGATGGCCACATTACAATTTGGATGACAATAACTTTTAAATGCAAGTAAATTCGTTTGCACATTAACCTTAGACTTAACCATGATTTACTAATGTATACTTTTTCTTCTCATTTTATCATATAACTATGATAAGTTTATATAGTTTAGCATAACCCAAATACAAATATATTTCTTCAGTTTAAATTGCGATAAGTTGAATGGTCATATTTGACTTGAAATTTTGTTCATATTTTCTTTTACACAAGTGAAATAAGAATAAATTCTTTATTTGGATGGAAACTAAGTAGAGAGACTAAAGTTTCATTTATTTTTATTAAGATTAAGACGTTTGAATCTAAATACATATCTAAGAAGTAAGATGTGTATTAAGATTAGAACGTCTGAATCTGAATACACATCTAAATATTAAAATGTGTATTACGATCTGATCAGTAAAAATTAAGACCATTGATTTTTTAATATCTGAACGTATAAAATTATCTTTATTTTATATAATACTATAAATATTTTTTGTAAAATGATAGTTGGTGGTAGTTTTAATTGATGGTAGTGATTTTGGTTGAAGGTGATAGTTACGGGTAGTAGCTAGGTGATGATGGCGGCTGATAATAGTAATTAATGGTGGTAGTTGTTGGCGACTGCCAATACTTGTGGTGGATGATGGTGATTGTTAATAGTGATGGTGATTATATCGACAATTAGCAATATATAATGGCGACTCATGATGGTGATTGTTAGTAGTGGTTGGTAGTGTTGTGGTCATAGTGATTAGTTGTGATGATTGTAACCAATGGCCAGCTAGTGATGACGACTGCTGATTGTGGTGATTGGTGGTGGTCGCAGTTGAGGAGGGTGATGGGTGGTGCTGGTAGTTAGCGGTGAAAGTAAATGATAACATCTTAATGATATTTAGCATCCTTTTTATTAAGATCAACGCACGTGAATTTAAATACACATCTAAATATTATAATGTCTATTAAGATTAAGACGTCTGAATCTGATTATACATATGAATATTAAGATGTGCACAATACATAAGTTACCACCTGAACTATAGACCAAATCTATGTTACACACTTTCTGACGGCAAAAATTATTTTACACACTCAACCTTTCAAACACACCACTTTGCTTAACTGACACTCGCATGTTATACATAGACAAAGGGCGAGTGAACTCCAAAATTTTTAAAAGAAAAATAAAAAAAACTTAAAACTTTAACTCAGTTTTGAAGTCATAAGAACTCAACCATGGAAGTTCATAACTCCTCTTGAAATCACTAATTTCAAATGTTTTTATGTTCAAGGATTAGTTCTTAATCAATTCCAAACAGCAAACAGTCCACATAAGTTTTAAATCTCATATTCGCATCAAACTCAGTAATTATTTTTGCATTCTGCTCACCATTGAAGTCTTTTGAAATCAGCAGTTGCTTTCAAAATTCAACCCAAACAATTATTATCCATTGATGCCAACTACAAATTCGAGTTCGAAATTGAATTTTATCTGTGGCTCGAATAATGGAACCCACCTCAAGTCTATTACATTAAGATCAATATTTTTTTTTAAAATCAACAAATTTTTTTTAAAAAAAAAGTGTGGTGTTGTGAGATCGAAAATTGAATTGTAATAAGTGTTTGGGATGAGATTTGGGTGGAATAATGTTTAAATCACCATTGCCGGCTAAGCTTCGAAGGTTGAAGTCGGAATTACATTTGAAATTTCATGTTCAAATTCAAGTGGGTGTTCAAGGTCCTTGATGAAAACACTTGCACGAAGCTAAATCTGATGTTTGGAATGAATTGAAATAGATTAGGGTGGCTTTGAAAAAAAAAAAGCAACTAAAAGAAAGTTGAATCCTAAAAAACGTCCAGAAACCTAAGAAGGAAAGAGACGAGGGTAGATTTGTAAATCTAAGTATTTTTTTATGTTAAGGACACGTGTAGCAACTCCATTGGTGCGTGACATAGACATATTTTGTGAAACTAGTCAACTACAAAAGTGGTGTATCATGGACACACTTTTGAAAAATTGAGTGTGTAACATAATTTTCGCTGTCACAAAGTGTGTAAGAGGGATTTGGTCCATAGGTTAGGTAGCATCTATGTATTTTGCCTATTAAGATGTGTATTAAGATCAAAATATAATATCAAAATGTGTATTAAGATCCGAATACTAAATAATTAAGACTGTTCATTTTTTTAACAACTGAATGTATAAAGCTTATCTTATTTAAAGATTAATAAATATAAAACGAAGAAAATGCTAATTAATCTAAACTATATCAACAAATATGATAGTTGCTGATGGTGATAGCTAACGATAGTGATTTTGGGTGCCGACTAGCGTGGTGATTAATGATGGTGTTGGTTGATAGTGGTGATTATGGGTAGTAAGTGATAGTGATGGGATGACTGACAATAATGATTAATACGATGATTGATGGTAGTAATTGGTGGTGGCAGTTAATAATTGATGCGAATGATAGTAATAGCTAATAGTAGTGGTGAATAATATATGTGGTTGGCAATATATAGAGATGTGTGATGATGATGATGATCGTCGATAATGATTCGTGATTGTACAATAATTATAGTTAGTGGTGTTGACCGTAAATGGTGGCTAGTGGTGGTAATTGTTGACTATGATGATTGGCGGTGGTGGGTAATTATAGGTGAGGAAAGTGGGTGATAATAGTTAATAACGGTGAGTGCTAGCGGCGGTTAATGGTGAAAGTAGATGATAACATATTAATGATATTTAAGACTTTTTAATCATACAGATCTAGTTAATCTCATTAAGAAATTGCAAATAAGAAAAATAAACATACTTAATGATCTAGATGTGAATGATTAAGATTCATATCTAAAAAATAAACGCATTTAATGATTGCAATTTGAGTGACTAAGATTAAGATCTTCACTAAATACAAACAAATTATGTGAGTTTATTTGTTTTTTATTATGATCAAAACGTCTGAATCTTAATATTACATCTCAATTTTAAGACGTACATTAATATTAAGACATCTGAATCTGATTCCACATTTGAATATAAAAATTTGTTTAATACTTGAATAGTAAATATTAAGATATTTATTTTTTCAACATCTGAATATATAAAACTTATCTTTATTTAAAGACTAACAAACATAAAATTTAAATAAAAATAATTAATATAATATCATATTAACAAAATATTTTTAAAAAATAATTTGATAATTAATGGTGGTTGTGCATGCCGACTAGGTTGATCGTTCGTGGTAGTTTTGGTTAGTGGTGGTGGTTTATGGATAGTAGCTACTGGTGATGGTGGTTCGCAATAGCGGCTTAAGGTAGTGGTTGATGGTGGCGGCTAATACTTGTGGTGGATAATGACGATAGCGGTGATTGGCAGTATATAGTGGTGGCTACTGATGGTGTTTGTCGATAGTGATTGGTGGTTGTGGGATAATGGTAATTGCTTGTGAGGATTGTAAATAATAGAAGGGATAGGTAGTGGTGGTGATGTTGACTCTCATGAACTTGTTAGTTGTTACTCCATCCGTCCCAAAAAGGATGATAATTTTTGAATTTCGAGAGTCAAACGAGTAGTTTTTTACGACGAATTTTTCATATATGTTTTAAATATCTTGAACTATTAATTTATTGCGACTTATAGTACCTTGTATGTAGTTTTTAAATATCTAAATTTTATTCTAAAAAAACTTTTACATTTGTTTGGTTGTGGGGGGGGGGGGGGGGGGGGTCGTTAAACAAATTAGGAGATTTGAAATTGGAACTTGAATTTCTGATTGCTGATTCGTGAACTTAAATTGAAATCTGGAGTGATTTTTATGAAACTTAAATGATAAGCACTAATTTAGAGTTGGGCGAGAATAATGTCCATAATACATTTTAAAAATCCTTTTACGCTAACATATTCGAATCTAGGTTCTTTTAAAATCAAAAAAAAAATTGAAAGTGAAAGCCGATGAGTATTACTAATGTGTACTTAGATTTGGAGTTTGGGTTTGATAAATGTGATAATAATGAAAAATTCACTTCAAGATTTAACGTTGAAATCTTACAAGATTGAGTTTGTTTTCTCTTAAAACTATTATGAGCTATTTATTGGTACTTAAATATGAAGATTGAATTGATTTTAGAGCAATTTGTGGAAGAATTATAAAACCACCATGGATGGATTTTTAAGAGCTTGAAGAATAAAATAGGTATGTTTAGATATGAATTTCTTTGTGGAGATTGATCGGGGGAGTGTGGAGAGAGAAGGAAAAAATTAAAGTATATTTTAAAAAGAAGGATTAAAATTTTGAAAAATGCCAAATAGCATTGCTAATTAATTGTAAATGTAAATACCTGGTCGATACCATATCTCAATCTAGGAAGCAGTTCCTCCTCATATTCGGTTTGACTTATGTTCATTCGCTCTGCGAGCGGAGCAGTATACCGAAAAAAAGAAGCGACTACCTTACTTAAGCAATTCTTCTTATACTTCTTCTTTCTTAGTTGAAGTTCCCCTTCTTCGAAAAGCCAATCCAGTTATTTCCTTGCAACCAGTGGATGAGAGTGCCCTTACATATAGTTCCAGGTCAGTTCCTGTTTAAGTTGGAGTGGGGCAATATAAAAAGTTGCAATCCCCATAGAAAGATTATATGTCCTAAAACAAAAATCACCTGATTAGCAAGAAATTCCCTGCTCTCCTCTTAGCAATGATCTGTCTAGGGCTACTTTCAAAACTGCAGAATCTAATCAAGTTTTCCTA